AGATGTTCCTCGAGGTCTTCTCGATGTTCCTTGAGGTCTTCTTGATGTTCCTCGTGGTCTTTTAGATGTTCCTCAAGGTCTTTTAGGTGTTCCTCGAGGTCTTTTAGATGTTCCTCAGGGTCTTTTAGACGTTTCTCAGGATCTTTTAGACGTTTCTCAAGGTCTTTTAGATGTTCCTCGAGCTCTTTTAGATGTTTCTTGAGGTCTTGTAGATGTTCCTCGAGGTCTTCTAGATGTTCCTCGAGGTCTTTTAGATGTTCCTCAAGGTCTTTTAGGTGTTCCTCGAGGTCTTTTAGATGTTCCTCAAGGTCTTTTAGGTGTTCCTCGAGGTCTTTTAGATGTTCCTCAAGGTCTTTTAGGTGTTCCTCGAGGTCTTTTAGATGTTCCTCAGGGTCTTTTAGACGTTTCTCAGGATCTTTTAGACGTTTCTCAAGGTCTTTTAGATGTTCCTCGAGCTCTTTTAGATGTTTCTTGAGGTCTTGTAGATGTTCCTCGAGGTCTTCTAGATGTTCCTCGAGGTCTTTTAGATGTTCCTCAAGGTCTTTTAGATGCTCTTCAAGGTGTTTTAGACTTTCCTCAAGGTCTTTTAGATGTTCTTCAAGGTCTTTTAGATGTTCCTCATGGTCTTCTAGATGTTCTCAAGGTCTCCTAGATGTCCCTCAGGGTCCCCCAGATGTTTTTGAGACCTTTAGATGTTTCTTATGGATTTCCAGATGTTTTTTTAAGGTCTTCCAGATGTTTCTCATGGTCCTGTAGATGTTCCTCAAGGTCTCCTAGATGTTCCTCGAGATCTTCTAGACGTCCCTCACGCTCTTTCTGATCTTCTTCCAGGAAAACCCCAGCGAGGAGGACGCCGCCATCGTCGACAAAGTCCTCTCCATGCGGGTGGTGAAGAAGGAGGTGAGGTCCTCGCCCGCGGCCGGCCGGGACCTCGTCTTCTCCTCCCCTCGCCCTTGACCTCGTCCCACCCTGGTTTCTCCTCAGCTTCCATCGGGCCAGTTGGTCGAAGCCGAAGAGTTTTTCGTCAAATACAAGAACTAGTAGGTGGCCGACGGCGCCGGAGATGTCTTCTGGTGGGCCCGTCCCACCAGGAGTTTACCTCTGGGTTGTCTTCTCCCCCAGCTCTTATCTCCACTGCGAATGGGCCACCATCGCCCAACTGGAGAAGGACAAGAGGATCCACCAGAAACTCAAGCGGTTCAAGACCAAAATGACCCAGATGCGTCATTTCTTCCACGAGGTGGGTCCTACCTTCTCTTCCTGGGGTGGGGGTGGCTTTGGAGAAGACTTTTGACCTTCTTAACCGTCTCCTCAAGGATGAAGAACCTTTCAACCCCGACTACGTGGAGGTGGATCGGATATTGGACGAGTCCCACAGCGTGGACAAAGACAACGGCGAGGTGAGAAGACTTGGAGAAGGTCGACTTGGACCCGGAGACTCCATAACTACGTCGAGACGGGTTGTCCATGTCTTCTTCTGGCCAATCCCACCGCTTTTTGTCCCCAGCCCGTGGTCTACTACTTGGTCAAGTGGTGTTCGTTACCGTACGAAGACAGCACGTGGGAGCTCAAAGAAGACGTGGACGAGGCCAAAATCGCCGACTTCAAACGCATCCAAGCCCGTCACCCGGAGCTCAAACGTTTGGTGGGACCTCCATCCCACGTCCCACCAGAGGTTGTCCACTTCCGAAAGGTCTTCTCCAAGGTTTCTCCTCGTTTTTTTCTTGCAGCCCAGGCCTCAAGCGGGTTCGTGGAAGAAGCTGGAGCTGTCGCACGAGTACAAGAACGGGAACCAGCTCCGCGAGTACCAGTTGGAAGGGGTCAACTGGCTGCTCTTCAACTGGTACAACAGGTGAGTGGTGGCAGCAGGAGGTCCTCACCCCCTGGAGAACTTCTTCTCGGTCATCTTCGAGCTCGTTTTTTTTCGGAAAATCTCATTTTTGGGGGTTTCCCGCCCGGTTTTTGGTGGTGGGACTCCATCCTCACGTCCATCAAGCTTCATTTCCTTGGAGGTTTTCCACCCTCGTGGTCCTCAAACCCATTTTTCTTGGAAGATC